CATGCTTTGTTGTCGAAGCACCAGCTTCAGAAGTGTTGTGCCGAGGAGACGACGCGGAGTCACTCATGAGAATGTTGCTGCATGGCCGCTGAGCTCAGAAATACTTCTGCAGAGCTGCTACATGCTATATGAGACCGACTGGGGCATGCCTCGAACGCAAAGGCTTCTATGCAGCAGGTTTTAGCGTGTAGCACAACCCTTGTCAGTGGTTCTGGAAATTTCTGCACGCACGTTCTGTCTCATTCCCAGACTTTGTTTCCGGCGAGGTTTGGGCAAGATGAAGTGGACTTCTGTTGATAGACCATTATTTCGCGGATGGATGACGCCGACTTTCAGACTTTCAGACACGGTCATTTTACCACATTCAGGGCGGGCGCCAGGGTGTGGCACAAATGGGATTCCTGGCAGGATCTTGAACCTGGGCTCTGAAAATGAGGGCTACTTCGTGAGGCTTTACTGAGTCCCTTCCGAGCTTTTGTGGGAAGACGCATATCAAAGGACTGCCTATACTTTCATGTCTTGGGGGACTACACATTCTGTCTCATCTACCATGCAAGCAAACAGCATTACGCTGGCGAGCGCGCATGTGCAAGACTAAGATCTACATCCCCCCCCCAAATACACAGCTTTTACGCTAGCAAGTTTTGTTGGCATCAGCGTGCATCAGGTCTAACAGCCGATGCAGGCGCACGCTGGCATGGCATACGGTGTGCGACGCAGGACTCTGTGAAACTACAGGGCGTCCAGGTTCCCACCAACAGTATTGCCTGTCGCACTTTGAGGGCAAAGGTCTATGGGAGCATGTTGAGGTCTTGGTACTGCCTCTACCATTACTCATTTATCCGGAGGATGATTCGATACTGTTGGCAACGCTGCTGCTGCTGTTGCCGCCAGTGACCATAAGAATGATTGTGCTTCTTATGATGATGATGATGATGATGTTGCTACTGCTCCTGATGATAATGCTGATGGTGGTGATGCCTCCACCTCCCGTGTGCTACGTCTGTTCCTGCTGCCTAGTATCGCTATGATGATGACGACCCAGGAATACTTTCGAAATCTGGCAGGAATGTATAGGCATCATCCGATAATGGTAGCACCAATCGCCAGGGCCACAACCAGTAACCAAGGTAGCAACAGCCACCAGCATGGATGATATTGAAACGGTGACAGCGCATTTTGGTCAGAGCTCTAACCATAACAAGTCAGATTCTTGTCATGATGACAAGTATATGGTATGCCACGGCAGTAGTCATGATTGGAAATTTGTTTTCTCTTGAGTTACATAGACAAGACGGGTGAACCTCGAACTTCAGACTTTCCTCTCGGCAGCAGCGCAGCATGTCAATACCCTATGGCACGCGGCAATGTCTAGGGGCTGCCTGCGAAGCCTGATGATGTTGTATGCGCTGCAAACTGGTACCCGGAGGCAGCAGCAGATGGGTCCCAAGCCCCAAGCACCCAACCCAGAAGCCAAGAAACATCAAGCCCTTAGCAATTGCTCTTGCAGGTTTCTGCAGCCATGCCTTTTGGTGTTCTTCGAGCTTTAGATGACAGCCGCATGCCTTGGGTTTAGGGTTGAGGGTTGGGTTTTGGAGATTAGGGCCTTGTGTTTATGGATTGGCTTGGAGTTCCTGTGGCTTGATTGGGACCACGAGCTCTTTCAGCCGCGATTTTGCCGTTTGCATTTGGGTGTGGTTGGTCCAAGGTGATGTTGGCTTCCGTACTGGCTCACGCACTTTTGTTGGCTCAGGCACGCCACAAGGGGACAATTTTGATGCACAGGTGTTCTTGGAGCCTAAGTAGTATACGTGATGACAACCTCAGGATACAACTGATATGCTAGTCCATTGGACGCTGCGAGACGCAACAAGAGTCAGAAGGCATGCAGCTTGCGGTTCAGGGTTTTTAGGGTTGTGCTTGGGACTTGGTCAATCCGCAGTGTGATAATCTTATTCGGAGAGTCTCAACCTTTAATGAAAGTTTCACATCAGACGCCCTACACAAGAACCAGCAAGGAAAAGTTTATTAGTGTGGAAGCCTCAACAATCGCCAATGCTATCCCCTAACGACCTTCAGTGGAATCCCGGTATATTTCGTACCTAGTACCAAGCCCTCTTGTTTCAAGCCAGCCTCCAGGTTCTTGACCTCTACGAAATCTGCTCGCAGCTGCTCCCTCTTCCGAGGAAGAAGATCAGGCTGGTGAGTCGGAGTCTAGGCCTAAGGGTTTAGGGGATGGTAAGTCGGATGTAGAAAACGCCACAAGAAAATAAAGGTGCAATCAGGCCATAGTTAAACAGTGTTTCATGTGTATACTAAAGCAAGAGGTTTGTAATGCATGAAATGCTGTATTGTCAAGATAGTCTAGATCAGGGCCCCAGAACCTCTTGAGCATGGGCTTGGGGGTGTCGTGTGCCCTCGTGGGCCATGAGAGGCCGCAAACTGTGCAGCTCCCACGGGCCAAAACCATGAAAGACCTCAATCGATGTTGGGCTTGTCGCTGTTCATATTAGGCTCTTCTACAGACGTTAATATAGGAGAAAATCAAGAGAACCCTGTCAGAATTTGTGAGCTTCTCGAGTTCCTCGAAGGTATTGCCTGTTTTAAGCGGTAAACCCGTCATTTATGATGCAGCCATAGCGTGTACATTTTGACCTCAACGGTGCTTTTCCGTGCTGCGCCAACGCCTTGCATCAGTGACTTGATAGACCATGCAGGGTATGGCTGAGAAAATCAATGTTCTATTGCATCATTTTACATGATGGAATACGAAGAATATCTAGCTGGAAGTAGGGGCCTGCTTCATTGTGTACATGGTTATTTCATTTATTGTTTATTTCATTTATTGCATTTTATTACAGGTTTTTCAAAAGAGAATTCAAAGAAATCTACGGAGAATTAGGGATCTTTCTGAGTTCCTGTTTTTGGTGTAAATAGGTTTTCACAGACCCGCTATATACAGGAGCTTAAAGAACACATAATCAGAACTAGGGACATCCTTAATTACCTAGATTTTTCTGGTTCGTCAGAAGCTTCCTATTTGCAATGACTTCATACAAGGCAACCTCAAGGCGATCTAAAACAATGATTATTGAATACGGGGTCTCCTCTTCTTATAACTTACCTAACTACTGACGAACTTGTTTTGTGATTGATGCGAGCGGGGGGGAAGGCATCATATGCTTTTCATAGATGTCGATTCTGATAGTCAATGTTTTTTTGGCAAGCGAATATGAGTTTGGGGGGTGGGCTTCACATATCCTAGCTGCCCAACTTGTTCATGTGCTTCAGTGGGCTCAGTGGCCCTGCTGCCAAACAGGTGGGCCAGCCATCAGTGTCGTCCTCGGCCGGTGGGTGAGCTGCCAACAGACAAGCGCACAGCGTTCTAAAGCATCTAAGATAGTTATCCTAATTCTGAGCAGTCAGAATTCTTCCACAATAAGCGTACATGAAGCCTAGCTCAGACATGTGATTGCCAAGGGCGTTCGGTGAATCGGCGATCGTTCCGAGCAAGGCTGCGGATGAAGGGACAGGAGCAGGCCCACCCTGCTGACAAAGTACCTTAGACCCCAAACCATAAGCCCTTGGCTTGTTCGGCGCGCCATCCTTGAAGTCCTCATCCAACTCGCTGTGAGGGAATTTGTGCACGCAGCCGACTGGAGCTCAGACGAGTTCTTATTGGTTCCGATCGAGCTGGAAACGCTTTGGAGAATCCGCGTAGTCTCACGGGAAGACCTCATTCCAGTTTGCTGTTGCCCTTCAGGGCGCAGAAGCAGGACATTTGAAGTGCTGGTCTCAGTCGTCAGAGTTGCGGCTGCCCCCAGCCAGAAAAGACCCTGCTAGCTGAGGTGGCTGCTGGGAGCCGCTCACGCAGCCTGAGTCACGGGCTGAAGTGTGTGTTTGGAGGCCGGGCTCTTGCTTCAGAGAGCTCGTGGATTCTGTGTGACCTCATGAAAGCAGGTCATGGAGCTCGTACGCCGTTGTCTCTGTAGGCTCTCAAGCGAGTATCGTGCGAATGTCACCCCGCAAGTCTGCGGGACAGCCCAACGCAGTTTGATGCTTACCGTCCTCGTCATTACCCTTTGCCTTCGGGCAGAGGCTGCCCGGCCTGAACGGGCATCCATACTCACCTTCGAGGAGCCCCTTCTCCAGACAAGCTGGAACCCTCTGAGCAGGGTCAAGAAGTTTTTTCAGGAAGCGCCCGCTCGCACGCCTGCAGATTTTGCATTTTTTCTCAGGGGTTGTGATCTAGTAGGTTGCAGGCTCTGAGTTTGGCAACGTCCTGAATTGTTCAGACCATGTTCGGAGCGCTTCATGTTGTGCGCAGGAAGCAAAGGAACCAAAGAAGCTGGTGGAGTGGGCCAAGGGCAAGTCGGCGTGCTCCTTCTGGGGTGCCCAACGCGTGCAGTTTATCAAGACTATCAAAGGCGACATGCCCTTCAATGGCTGCGAATGTAGAGACCGAGGTCGCACCGAGTTGAGCCGGGAGTGTATCATTCCTGGTGATTTTGGTACCTTCTACTTTAGCCCTCCCCTCATGTTGGAAAAAGACCCTCACGTACAGTTGTGGGATCGAAAGTGCAAGTGCGTAAAAGCATACGAGCATGACGTAGACTCACCCATGCTCTCGGAACAGATTCAAGGGGTCGCGGCCGTGGACTTTTGCCGGAATCTGTTCGCGGCTGCTGACCGGGCAAACAGTAATCACTACCCGAAATACTGGGTAGTCAAGTGGAAGGCAGACATGCAGAAAAGGGTCAACGAGACGCTGAGCATGCACCGCTGCCAAAAGCAGCTGTCAGACACTAAGAAGATCGAAGACCTTCTGGAGAGCAAGGGGAGCTTGACGTTGAAGCAAGCCTGGAAGAAGGTTTGCTACGACGAGTGTGAAGATCTTCTGGATGAGCTGCGTGAGACGATGGAGACCGTGGTGGAGACAGGACGCCTGAGGAAAAACTCCTGGAGCGAGATCTGTGCGGAGCATGTCGTCAAGAAGGTCGAGTCGCACTTGTTGGGCTGCTGCGGCAGAAGCTGTGGCTGGAACGGGAGGACATGTGCCTCTTCTGACGGATTATATAAAATGGATTTGATCTCCCAAGAATTGCTGGAATAGGAGCAGGCAGCAGTAATGAGGTCATGTGTGGACAAGCGTAAAGGCATTGTGGCTTTCGCAAAGGGGTTTGGGGATTTGTTAATGGACTTTTGCTTTCATGAGGAGGTCCCAGGCTTTGATGGCCAGCAAAACAAATCATTGTGCCCAAGCCCCAGTTCAGAAACTTCCTTGATTGGATACGCATTGCCCTGATTCAGAAACTTAGATTTTGTGAATTCACACAGTTATTTCCCAGCCATTTTGGCAATTCATAGTTCTTTTATTTAGGAACTTATTCTTCCAATTTCCGATTCAGAACTTCACTTCCGGAGGGATGGCTTCATTTCGCAGCTTTGCATGTCTAGGGAAGCGCAAAGTTGACTTGACCATTGCCGAACGAGCAGATTTTCGCTCCGAACCCGTTTTTTTGTGGTGAAATTTCCGAATCAGCTGCTTCAGTTTCCAAATCTGGTTGCTCTCCGAGTTAGAAGGATTAGGTTCTGAATTAGGCTCGTGCCCGAATCAGATTGGTATCCGAATCAGGCGGTTTCATTAGTTTCCGAATGAGCCGGGTTTGTTTCCTAATCGGCATGTTTTCTCTGAATCAGGTGTTGTTTAGTTTTGGATGTTCGTGTTGGCTTTGAAGAAGGTGGTTTTCTTCATGACGAGTGACCTTGTGTGACGCTTTGTTATGGCCGCCCGTAGGAATGAGCTTTCCAGGCCGTGACAAGCGGCTTCTGCGCTTTCTAGCCAAACGCATTCCCCACAATGCCTGCAACATTGCGTCTAGGTGGTTTGAATCATTTTGAGACCATATCTTTTTGCGCACAGAAGATGTCACGCTTCTTGGGTCTGTCTTGCAAAGCTCCAGTAGTGAAAGTGGCCTCGATGTTGCCCAGGCCTTCACTGGCCCTTCATCCCGCCTGCCGAGCAGGACGCTTGGAAAGCTGAGTGTTGTGTTGAAGCAAACATAGTGAGAGGCTCAGCGAGGGAGCAAATGTGCCTGAGTATCCTGCCGGATGAGCAAGCGCAGCAGAAGTATGTGGAGGAGGACTTGAAAGATCCAGATCCAGGCTTTGCTTCAAGTCTTGGAGAAGATGAGCATTTGGTTTGGACCGAGAAGGGTGTGCGATCCA